AATTTATCTTTTCCTTTAAGAAAAATAAATGAATTTTATCTAGAAATATTAAAATTCACATTATTTATATTTAATGTCATATAAAATTTCATGTTATATCACATCATTAGATTACAGATGACAAGTATAGTTAATCATGTCAATTCGTGCCACTTCGTGTTAGGAGGTCAACTCTAACCCAATCTATTTATTAATCGTGTTAATCGTGTCAACCCGATTATGACCCAAACATATTTATAGTAAACCCAAACCCGCTAATTTTGTGCGGGTTTCGAGTCGTGTCGTTATGTCGCTACCTGGATTGTCAACCCTAGTTGTTATTGTTATAATTGTTATTATTATTAATATTAATGTTGTTTTTGTTTTTGTTATTTTGCCCTGAATAATTTGTTTCAAGTTTTCAGTTTGAAAATTGTGTTTTTACCTCTGATCCATAAAGTATACATTGTTTGGTAATTATACAAGTGATTAAGTTTCTTTTTATGAATCATTATTGTATGTGCTTTTTGTAACATATAACATTCTTAGATAAAGGGAAACCATCATTGTTTTATATCATTTTCACCATTTGACGGCACAGGCACTCAGGTACGCATACCTAAAATAGTGAAAATCAAACTACATCCCATGATATTAATTACTTGCATGAAAATGACACAAGAGACCAACCAAAACCACCATGTAAATACTTTTTTTTTTCTTTTATTTGTGAATCGTGATACTAAAAAAAAACACAAAAAAAACAACCCATAGATAAGGAATGTATTGAGCAGAACTCGGGCACCATGCATGATAACCTCATATTTTGCATTATTTCACTGTAATTAAAATATGTAAATAAATAAAAAATAAAAACAACCCATAGATAAGGAATGTATTGAGCAGAACTCGGGCACCACATGCATGATAACCTCATATTTTGCATTATTTCACTGTAATTAAAATATGAAATCTTTTACATCTAAAGCAACAAGAGAGGAAGTTGTATTTTGAAATTCCGTGCAGATTATCTTGCGCGCAAAGTTTCCCGAACCAAGCCCCTTGATATGAGCTATTAGCAAAATATCAAGATTATAACTTCCCATCAAATATTGCCAGAGTACAGAGTGATTCCATCTGTATCTTATCTTTGTAATTTCATGGGAGTAGACCGATTAATAGAACTAATATAGACAAAACTAATATACTTACGGAGCATGATTTCTTTCCCTTAGTCTATTACCATTGTCACTTCGCCAAAATGGAACAATGAAAACAGACCTGGAAAATAAACACACTCAGAAAGAGAAATATTTGCAGCCTCCTACCAAAAAAATTGCCGAGCTTGATAAAAAAAATCTCAAGACTTGTATCTCAAGTAAATGAGTTGTTGTGAGTGGAGCCATCTTCGCCCGCTTGTGCTTTGGTACCACCGGAACTTGCCTCGGGCAATGATGACGGATATTGGGACTGCTCTGGAACTACGGTCGGCGTAAACACGGGCTCAAGGTTTTCATTTACACTCTTCTTAGGCCTCTTAGGCCTCTTAGATTTTGGCATTGAATCTGTATTTTGAGGGGTATCATCAAAATCGAAGTCCATTGACATGGAGTTTGGTTCATCTGCCGTTTGAGCATTCCTTGATTTTGAACTCTCAGCAGCTTTTCTCTGTGAGCAAGTATTATGTGAATTAGAACTTGGGGAAACCAACATAAAAAAACTGGCAACTTCTACAGCTATTTAACTTTATGCCAGTTCTTATTCATAAGAATAAAACCACTAAGATATGCTTGAAAATAAGCAATGATTAACTTGAGGAATTTGAGTTAGATTGATCATAACAAGTCTGGATTAACACCGATACCTTCTTGTTGCTGGATTTGGCTCTCTCCCGATCCGGGGAGTCCTCATATCCAGCAGCCTGAGATCCATTACTTGTTAAATCCACATCCTCCAAAGACGCATCACCTTCTGCATCTACCCGAATACCCTTTGTTTGTTTTTTCTTCTGTCTATCCTTTACCTGCCAATTAAAACATGATAGGAATTACAATCACAAAGTACTGAAAGAATTAAAGCTTCCTGAAACTTAAGAGGAGGGGCGACAGGGGTACGTCTGTTTGGAAAGTGAAGTCATGGCCAAAATTTGACCCAGATATGAAGTCAAGAGAACAAAATTTAAACCCCACCTGCAACGGAATCTCTCTCAATTTTTGCTCCAACTGGGCATCATCCAGAAGTAGAGATACAACGTCCTCAGGAGCCAAGAGATCACCCTGAACATGTCCGCCTGTCATCACAAGCTGCTGGACGGTATTTTTCTGACTTGCTCTGTGAAGAATCTTCTCTTCAACTGTTTCTTTACAAATTAATCGGTACACAGTAACCTACAGCATGAGAAGCAAGTACTTTATACTATGTTCTACCAAAAGAAGTACTTTACATTAAAATGAGAGAGCGAGAGAGAGATGACGAGCAACAAAAAACGACAATAAACTCACATCTTTGGTTTGACCCAATCTGTGAGCTCTATCCATTGCCTGTAAATCCAAAGTTGGATTCCAATCACTTTCATAGAATATGACAGTGTCGGCAGCAGTCAAATTAATGCCAAGTCCACCAGCTCTTGTACTTAGCAAGAACACAAAAATGTCACTCCTGCAACAAATACATGTCACAGATTTCATAGACACGCCAGATCTCATGCCTATGCTACGGCAAATGGGGAAAAAAAGAAGTCAGATGTAAAGAACACTTGAAGAAAACACCACAAGAGAGATAAGTCCCTACCGAAGCTGAAAGTCCCTGACCATGTCCCTGCGGTCCATTATAGTGGAGGATCCATCGAGTCTGAGATATTTATATTTCCTATAGTTCATGTAGTCCTGCACACAACAATTCAAAAGTTACAATAACATGGGTAAGTTGTTACGAGGAAAGAAAAGTGAATCACTTTTGATGCTACATTAGTTCCAAATGGAAAATCAACGCATAAACATCGAGTAAAATCCAGACAGTATCCTGTTAGGCCTAATAATGCCATGACTACATCCATGTCTTAAATCAGGGCACAGGTAAAGACATGACCAAATTAGAATTTAGAACTAAACTCAATAACCTATGAATTTTAAAGAAACAATTTAAATTACCTCAAGAATATTCAGCATCTTCGTCATTTGAGCAAATAAAAGAACACGGTGATTTTCTGCTCTCAAGCGTTTCAACAATATATCAAGTGTTTGAAGTTTTCCCGAGTCCTACAAAAAAAAAAAATATAATTATTATTATTATACCATATACTTCGAAAGCCAGGAAGAGAAATATGGTAACTGAATACGAAAAGGAAACTATGAACGGGCTGGGCTTACTGTCAGCAATTTTGCTGGGTCAAAGCTTTGCATAGGAGGAGAAGAGCCAAAAATCGTGTACGTCAACTGAAGGGCCGGTTGTGAAACAGGTAATTCAGAATCAATCTCCTGAATTAAATGATGAGGAGAATCTGGCATTTTGGGCCCATTACAGTCAGATGTCCGTGCAAACCCCACAAACAACCTCTTAACCCAAGGACAATGTCGTTCATCATTAATTTTGTAAGCAAAGTTCCTGTCAGAACAATGTGCATCAACCTAATAACAAGAGGAGAAAGCTTTAGATAAAGTCAAATATTGTGTAAAACAGTAGAAGAATATTAATAACTTAACAGAGCAAACATACAGGGGGAGCTCTAGTCTTAGGGATGAATGTGTAAACTGAATGAAGAAGTATGATGTTTGACAGAAGCCTGTCCTCATGAGAGACAATTAAAGCCTCAAAAGGAGCATCACCAGGCCCTGTTGTGAATTTCCTCTGAAGCAAATTAGTTGCAGATTTTGATGGCATAAGCAACATTCGTGTAACAGCTCTCACTTTTCCACTCTCAAGGTAACCGAGTTCATGATCATCATCCACAGTTTCCATAAATGAATCTATTATTCCATCCAAAAACTGCCGGTCCCATCTCGTAAGAGAAAACATTAGGCACTCCATAAAAGAACTGGTTCCCAGAAATGCAACCTCAGCGGGACACAGATCCATCAGGTGAGTAAAACCAAAAGATCCACTTTCAACAGACAAGCCATCTGACCGATTCTCATTTGCAAATATGGATCTATAAACATTGTCTGGAGAATATATATTAAAATATTTCTCGAAGGATTCTCTGCTGATACCACGTACAACTGCTGAAGTAGATATGTCACGTTTTTGCAGAACATCTATGTAGACAAGTTTTGGGACCTTAAATAAGAAAAAAAAATCCAAAAATTAGATTTCCTCATATTTGGGGCATAATGCATTTAAGTATCAAAAGAAAGATATACATACACATGCACACAGCCAAACACAGAGCTTTCAATCTAAGATACTGGCAGCAGAAACTAGAAAGAAACAAACATATTGTGCAGCTCCACTAAAACCAAGCATGGCAAACATGGGTTAGGCCCCAAGCATGGGTCTCTCCTATGTGGCTTCCGTGCGATTTCCAGCTCCAAAGGGCTGAGCAGCATTGCTCAAAAGAACATAACAGTATAAGCTCTAACAAAAGCCATAAGTCCAGAACAAACTGGCTATCAGACATGACAAATGTGGTCTTTCCCATTGCTTCAAAGGTCTCAAAGCTATTACTAATCTTGATGGCAGTGTTAACTAAGATGTACAAGAACCCAATAGTGTGAAGTGATGGCCTAAGTCCAATAATGTGAAGATTACAAAGAAATACCAAGGAGATTATGTCCAACAATGTGACCAATATAAACACGGCATCAAGCTAGTGCTACTTGCTAACATGTTTTTGGATTTATGCAGAATGTAAAGCCAGCAACGAAAAGGCAGTGAAAAGCATGATGTGCATATTGACCAATATAGAAGTAACTTCTACTCTTTATCCTTCTACGTTAATTGAATAATGAAGAAAGAGACATGGTGTAGAAATGTGGGAATGAACTGATATGAGAAAAACAATAACTCTCACTGTCAAAGTTCGAGACCAACAAAAATATCGGTAAAACAGCTGCAAATACCTTGAATATAATAGGATTATGACCCCCTGAGTAGTGTACGTCCTCCAATTCCCCAAAGGGAGGGGGTAGAAGAGAATTAGGTATCTCACCAAAGTAGAAGTACGTGCTCCCTTCACTCCTCTCAAATAGCTCAGGATGGTTGCAAACCTATCATCCAACAAAGCAGAAATAACGATGTTCATTAAATTAAGAGATATTTCACGACAAAAATACGTTTCACTGTTCGGCGTTCATTACCCAATTGCTCATAGCGGAATCATAATATGAACCATGGTGGAGAAAAAATTATTTATATACAGCCCACCTTTCTTAACTGAATGACGATGTTCATTAAATTAAGAATTTTCTTCTCATTAAGATGTCCACGCTTGCTGTCGAACAACTCGGCAAGAGATATCTTGTTCTTGATAGCTTGATAAAAAGCTTGTTGTTGAGAACTCAATTTGCAATGTACCATGATCTCGGTTTTACTAGTTAGCTCCGAAACTACATCTGTTTTAACTCGACGTAGCATGAAAGGCTTTAATATAGAATGCTGTAGGGGCAAGAAGGAAAATATACATCATACAGCAGTCATTAAAAGTTTCACTTGTCAAATTTGAAAGCAGCTGGTAATAAAGTTTACAACAAAGATTGTAACTGATACTATATAAAAACCAAGGTTATTAAAAAGATTAAGAAAACAAAAAACTGCCAAAAAAAAAAAAAGAATGTCCACCAAGAGGTCTAGAGATTAGACAACCAATATCTTCGCAGAATTCTCAGCTTCACCAGGAATTGAAAAATTGGCTTACATTTGCAGTTACACATTTTTAAAGATAGCAACAACAACAACAAATACAAGCCTCAATTCCAAATTAATTGGGGTCGGCTATATGGATTTATCGTTTCCAGTGTGTTCTATTAAACACGAGACCCTCCTAAAGCTTTAGATCTTGAAAGTCATGCCTAACTACGTCGGCCCAAGTAATTCTTGGTCTACCCCTCGCTCTCCTAGTACTAGGTATTTGAATGTTCTCCCAAACACGAACAAGTGCATCTAACGATCTACTTTGTACATGCCCATACCACCTCAGACGGTTTTCCCGCACCTTATCTTTTATTGGTGCTACACCTACTTTACTACGAATAACTTCATTCCGTATGCGATACATCCTCATATGGCCACTCATCCATCTTAACATACGCATCTCCGCCACACTCATCTAGTATATTTGTTGTCTCCGCCACACTCATCATGTACATTTTTAAAGATAGCATTTCAAGAAAAACATATTAATTATGTGCATCAAAGATGCTCACCAATCTGTTAAGTTGGTGCTCGTTCAAGGTGCCACCATGTTCTGCATGGCCCTCAATTCTGGTAACATGTGACAAATTATCATTAATAAGGAAACATGATTAACAGATGCTAGTTATCAATCAACTCAGTACTCTTGACAAAAGACAGCATACCCTTTAGAAAACCACTCATTAAACTGTTCGTGGCTGTCAAATAACGTTGGCATAATGAAATGGAGAAGGGCCCACAACTCTGCCATATTATTTTGGATAGGTGTACCAGTCAGCAGCAATCTATTTCGGCAATTAAAACTAAGCAGTGTCTTCCATCTTATACTGTCAAATAAGCAACAGGATATGTATGAGAATGCAGGAAAAATAGAATATAACATTCCAGGATATAATAAAACTTTGAGAATATTGATGTAGCTGACAAACAAACTATAAATAAAGGTAAACAAATTCCAATGCAGCAAAACTGGTAGCATGCAGTTCAAAGGAACATATTTCATGATGCCATGCTTTTTGCACATCCATACAAGATACACAATCGATCCTTAATCAAGCGTTGGAAATTTATCATCCGAGAATAATGGTGATCTACGACCAGTAAAGTACATCAAATGAAAACAAACAAAAAGAGTAATTGGTTGATCAAAATATCATATGCAGGAAAGGAAAAGATATGACAACGGAACTTAATTTCCCCTTATTTATCTTTTTCTAGATGCCAGTAGTCTATTTTATCCGGTAGCAAACATGAAGAAAAATCAGAACGTTTTTTCTCTAGTGCAATACTTTTGTTTCTTTTTTTTTTCCCCTAAATTATAAACCTGCATAATTTAGTACAATTCTGTTCTGAAATAAAAACAAACACAAGCAATAGGTAATACCAGTAGTTGACTCCGGAGAAAAGCTAATACTTAATGAACATGTAGCAAAAGACTATTCAGTTCAGACAGTCTAACCTGTTTGAACTTTTAATTGCTTGGGCTTCATCCAACACCATATATTGCCATTTTACACGCCGAAAATACTTCTCATCAGAAACTAGCAACTGGTAGCTGGTAATAAGGATATGAAACCCAGCATCCCTGGAAAGAGATGGAGAAAATATATTAATAAATCGAACAATAATTCATTATGCAGCTATAGATTAAATATGTTTATAGTGAATAATGAGTTAAACGAGCCCAAATTCTTTTCTTCTTACAACAACATTATTGCACACACAAAAAAAAAAAAAGGAGACTAAACTTGAAAGCCAATTGTCTACCTACAGGTGAAATGAAATGTAATACTGAAACCCAGGTATTTATACTAGAAACATAAAGTAAAATCTAAAACAATAAATGTTTACATGTTTATAGTAAATAAAACGACAAATGAAACCCAAATGTTTTATCTTTTTTACCAAATCATTATTGCACTTAAAAAATAAACTAACATAATAAAATTTGCTTACCTACGGTAAAGAGTCTTTGGGTTGATTTTCTTTCTAAGTACTGCACGGTCTTGAACCCCACCCCAATATGGAAGAGTTTTCAGTTCAGGGCAAAAACGACTAATTTCATCAGCCCAGTTATTCAATACAGATGCAGGAGCAACAACCAAAAAAGGCCCCCATATATTCTTTTCCTGAATGGAAAATCATTCCAAGTCACAATCAAGGGGAGACATGTATGCATTAGACACCAAGTCAAATAATTACCTCGGCTAAATGAGCCAAAAATGCCATGGCTTGTATGGTCTTTCCAAGGCCCATTTCATCGGCAAGAATTCCATTTAAACCCTATGGACAACAATAAACTCCTTAATAAACAATCAAATGAAAAGAATCAAACTGCAATATATTTTTGATATGTTGGCATTTGTCAATGCGCTCAACAACCTGCTCATAACAATTAACAAGCCACTGAAGACCTTTTAGCTGATACTCTTTAAGAGAACCTCTAAACATCTGTGGTGTTTGAACAGTTGATGTCACTGGCATGGTAGAACTGTAAATGCAGAAACATAGATTCAATCAAAATGACAGAAAAGCGCATTGCCAGAGACTCCTTAATTTGTTCCAAAGCAAGTAAAACCTACGGAATATGGAAATATCAAAAGATTAGCTTACGGATGATGTAGATCTATATTACTAGCTCCAGGAACCTCCTGTGGAATCTCAGGTTCACCATCCTGGCGCAACCTACGACATTCAGTATCAAATGCACTTGTTAGTGTTTTCTGCTTAGAGACAGCATCGTGAGCAGCTCTCAAAGCCTCTCTCTTCAACTCAGCCTCTTCAGGATCATCCTCCTCAACTGAAGAGCTCATAAGCACTTCTTGCTCTTTTATTTCCTCATCCCCTAGAAGTGCAGCTTCAGATGGCTGTGCGCTTGACTTTTTCTGCATAAAGTGGCTGTAAAGCTCAGTTTGTTGAATAAGAAAATTCAGCCTTTGTTGCTGTCTCTTTGCTTCTCGAAGCTCCTGTTCACGCCTCAGGGCTTCAGCAGCTTCTCTCTCTTCCCTTTTCCTCACTTCTGCCTGCAACATAAAGCAGCAAGTAAATACCGAAAGATAATTAACGCTGATACCATGAAATATAACTCTTAAACATTGACTCCCAAAATCCACTCCAGTGTATTAATGAATCATGCCATGCTCCTAATTTGCTCCCAAAAGCCCCCCGCTGACTTGGTAGGGCATGGTGCCTATTACAGCCAGATTAATTATTATTTCTAAATGTAATCACTGTTCTCCATGAAGGAAAGGGGAAAGTTACCATCTCTTTATCTACTCTCTTCCAAAAGAGCAACATATCTCTGGCTAACCTCCTTGTGCGAAATGCAGCACTCTTCATCAATTTAAGTGATCTACTCACTTTTAGTTTCACCTGAAAAAGATATCAGATACAAGCATATTTTCAGTACTTGTAAATTTTTTGATAGACGAACAAAAATAATAGTTCAGAATACAGTACTAGATCATATACATTAATGAAATGAGGCCTCAGTATCTACTAAGTTTGCAAATAAATAAATAAATAAACAAATAAACAAATTAATAAATAAAAGGTACGTCCCGAATGCCACAACAAAGGACGTAACTCTTCATGGAGAGAAAAAATTGACTTGCCTCTCTCTGACAGCTTTCTGAAACCCTCTTTGCATCAATTAGTTGCTTCCTGTGAAAGGTTGTAAAATTCCTATGATGCTTCGGTATGTCTCGTCTTACAATGTTTATCCAAAATTTTCCAATCTTCTCCCTTTCCTCCCTCTCAATTACAGAAGGATCTTTCTTTGCTTTTTGCTTCTTAGGTAAGCTTCTTTCAATTATCTGCAGTGACAAAGCCAGAACTAAATCAAAAACCATTCTCAGACAAGGAACCTATATATGTATATAGACAGAGAGCGAGAACGTGAAGGGAAAAAAACGTCATTAGACAATCACACTTGATAGGGAAAGGGATCAAAACCTCATATGTATCGCCTTTCTCTAAAACTTTCACATAGTAGACCTGCAAAACACCACCCTCAGACAGAATAGACCTCTTAATATTTCCAGCTGCCCCCTCTGGGATGGACGAATTTACTATATCAGAGACTTCTAGATTGAACTTCTGAGCTGAATTAGAAGCTGGCATTGCCATCAATCTTGAATGAAGAGAATCGTACTGCAGATGGGGCTCGCCCATACCCGCGTGGTTTTTATGTCCAAACCTTTTATCAGTAGACATCATTGCTGCTAAGGACCCTAAATCCAATGTGCCTTCTAAGTAAATTTCCTCCACTCGAATATCAGAAAAGCTTGGCAAGTTCAAGGAAGTTGCCAGCTTGTCATAAGTTGGAGGAATCTTGTAGGTGATTCCATCCCCAATATCCAGATAAGGAGGCTCATACATTGTTCTGCATGAAAGTAGAAATCATTTATCTCACTATTCTAAGGATAAATATTTTCAATAAATTTTCATCTCGCTCTCCTAGCAGTCAGTGCTAGAGAAGATGTTGGAAAACCAACCTATCGATGTCATTTGGCGGAGCAAAATCTGCTTGGCGGAAGTTCCCCGTTTTCGGAGGATTAACATCATTGAGCCAATCCGGTGTAGTTTCCGATTCGAGAAACCCTCCCCGTTGCTCATTCCTCAACTTCCTACCTTTCAAGCCCAAGTTACTCTTTGGCATCGGAACTCCCATCTTGGTCGGGGCAGGGCTTGCGGAGGAATCCTTGAACCTCCTCTTATACTTCTGAATGTGTTCTCCAAGCATTGATCGATACCGTTCCTCTGTAATGTGTGTGGTGTAATAGTTCTCCCCGTCGTCGTATTCGCTGTTCTGCGACCTCCGTCTTTTTCTTGAGTTAAACTCCCCTGAAACTAGCCCATTACCTTGGTTTGCAATTGCTCCACCTACAATGCCAAACAAACCCAAAAAGAGCAACAAAGTATTACTATCACACATAAGTTTACATTACATATTTGGTAATTGGTATTACAACGCTTAGAAACAATAATTTTTTTAAAAATTAAAGCGCATTACAAACAAAAGCTTCAAATGAATAATTGAGGGTTCAAGAATTAAAAATAAACATTAAAAAAAACAAATCACAAAAAAAAAATAAAATAAAATAAAATAACGTACCTCGGCTACCTCTACTCTCATCCTGACTACTATTTCCATAATAATCAAAGTCATCATCTGGTTGTGGAAGTTGAAAGTTCACTAAAGACTACAAACACAGCTCAAAAATCAAAAGACTAAATTAACAAGCGATCAAATTTCTCAACGAGAGAAACATAATTCTATCAACTAAACAAAATCAAACACGTCCAATTTAAAAAAATTCCCGAAACGAAAGAGAAAACAAATATAAAGAGCTCGAATTTCACAAGACCAAAAGATGCAGCAATCCGACGAAAAAATGGAGAAAACAAAAGGCGACGAAAAATTCCAAAGACAAACCTCGAGATTGAAGAGATTAGAGTAGGAGACGGAGTCCTTGGATTGCCTTCGGTGGTGGTCCATGAGCGCGAAGAATTGGGCATGGAGAATTGGGCGACAAACAGAGAGAAGCGAACAGAAGACGAAGAAGAAGACGAGGAAGAAGAAGAAGAAGAAGAAGGAGAAGAAGAAGGAAACCCTAACCCTAACCCTAGCGAAAACCGAAGAGGTGGAGATGAAGATGAGAAGAAGAGAGAGAAAGGGAAAGGGAATGGCGTTGGGGAATGGGGGTGCGTAGGATAAGGTTGGATGGTGGAGAAAGAAGGTACCGTGGACAGAGACGGTGCAGGCAACGTGCGCCGGGTGGGTGCCATTTGTTAACGTGCGCCGCTCGTGGATTAAAATTGAAATGTTTGGCAATTGGCCGAGAGAAAAAAAAAGGTGTAAACTGAAACAAACGGTCACGTCGGCAGCGGCGTGGGCTGGAAGACAGTGTGGAGACTGGGGAAAAAGTAGTGTCGTAGCAAATACCAGTTTATCGTCGTTTCTTCAACTAAGTTTGTTGTCGTTTTTTGTTTGACTTTATATGTTTTAGCCGTATACGTGGACTATTGAGCCCGTTTGATTCATGGATTAGAACTATGAGATTAGAATCATTTTCAATTTATGTGTGTTTTTTATGAGAGAAAATACTGTAGCGAATCATGAATCATAATTCGAATCAGAAAACGAATTCTCCAACCAAATGGACTCCTAGTTTGTTTTTTTTTTTTTTCCTATTAAACTAGTTAAACCACGTGCGTACGTGAGGAATACCTTTGTAACTTTGATTTCTATGTCAAAACACTAGTCTCCTTAAAAATTAGGGACGTTTATTTATTATATTCGTCTCTGATTTTAAATTATGATTTATAATTTTTTTATAGTAATTTTGTCTCATAAAAAATAAACATAAAATGAGAATAGTTCTAAATCATGATTCTGAATACATAAATCAAACGTCCTCTAAATTCATCAACTAGAGTAAGAGAAAAAAATATCTTTAAAAATCATATTTAAAAAATTAAAATTATATGAGTTTTTGACCCAAAAAAAAGAAAAAGTTTAAGCATAGAGACAATTAAAAGAAATTATTTTAATTAAAAAATAATTTAAAGAAGCGTAAAAAAATGTAACGATTAGAGAATGTCAGGAAGAAAAAAATCAATAAACAAAAAAAAAGAAGAAGAAATAGTAAAAAAGATTAAAAAAATAAAAAGAGGAAAAGTTAAACAAGAAAAAATAAAGATTTAAAGTTATATAAGAGTTTTTTATCCAAAAAAAATGTAAGGACATATTTAGAAGAAATTATTTTAATTAAAAGGAAGAAAAAAGAAAATATTTCGAAGAAAGATATTGTAAAAGAAAAAAACTGTCAAAGGAAAAATTAAAAAGACAATAAGCAAAAGAAAATAAGAAAAAATTAAAAAATTAAAAAATAAAGAGAAAGATGAAAATTAAAAAAAAAAGACAAAAAAAAGAAGAAAGAGGCCAACAGATGCCAACACGTGGCCTCCTTAGGAGCCCAGTCCACTTGGCTACTTTTATATATGTTAAATGTTGAATTGAATGTATAGATAATTGTTAAAATATTAGACTATAGAAGAGCAGTTGAAAAAAAAAAAAAGAGCAAAGCACGTGAAAAATTAAAGTGTAAAAAAAAATTCATAAAATAAAAAAAATAAAATAACAGAACAGTTCTACAAAAATAAAAATAAAAAAGAGGGAGTTACCAAGTGACAATTTGAAAAGAGCTATGTGGATGCACTATTAAAAATGTGTATAAAAATAACTTTTGATATAAAATGAATTATAGGAAAAATAATTAAGTATGGACACATTTAAAAAATTATTTTAGCCATTGACAAAAAATAAAAATAAAAACACATGTAAAAGAAATTATTTTTTAAAATTCAAAGAGTTATTGATATTTTAAATTGAATAAATATTAAATAATCTATATTTAGTTAAAATATGACGTTTGATTGAAATGAATTACTTAAAAATTACTAGATAAAATAGCATTCTAGTCATTTTAGCTAAAATTTAATTAAAATTTAGGGAGTTCCTTTTGTAGTTGCTCTGATAGGCATTAGCATTCAAATGAGTGTTTTTTTTTTTTTCCGTTGGTATTCAGTTTTGAGCTCAAGATGGCAACTGGGTATGACGTGCTGATGAGAACTTTTTTTCTTTTTGGTGTTCATTTTGAACTGAAGACTAGAAATTGGAGAATTTATAAGGGGTTTAAATAGAATTTTTATGTTTAGTGTTCAATTTTGAACCAAAAATTGGAAACTGGTAATTGGATATGAGCTTAGTGTGCGGTAAATAGAAAGTGTGATGAGTTTTTTTATTTTCAAATCTGATGTAAAGAGCAGAAGAGAAAGTCTGAAACATTAGAATTGATCATGTTTTTGTTTTTCATATTTTTTGAGAAAAAAAATGAAAACATTTTTAAAATGACGTTTGACGTAATAAAGACAGAAAACGGAAATGAAAATGACTTTTTAATTTAGTGTAAAATGAAAGAGAAATAAAAAAGTCATTTTTCATTTTTTGTTTTCGTTTTCTCCTCTCTCGAGCAGAGAGAAAGAGAAAGAGATATTAATAGGTTTTTTTTATACTGAAAATAATCTTTTGATAAAATTACCAAGCGCATTTTCTAAAATGATTTCTGTTTGAGATTGAAAACGTTTTTATTTTCATTTTCATACAAAAAAATAAAATCACTTTAGAACGAATTATAAACGCACAATTAATTTGTTAGTTTTTTTAGATGGAGGAGGAAGAAGATGAATGCTTGAGTTTATTTTTCATTTTTTTATTTTTTTAATATTTTTAATATATTTTGTAAAATTTAATTCATGGTAAAATAATTAAAAATGTAGTAAAGACATTTTACATCTTAAAAAAGGGCCTTAAGGTACTAAAAAATGTTTTTAAAACGTTGAGTTACGATTTTAATATTTATTAAAAATTCAGACTACTAAGAGCATATTTTACAATGATACAAGATGATAAAATGATTTTATCCCAAAAGATATTTATAAGAATCATTTTGGATAAAATAAGAATTACTCGAAATAAGCAGCTACATATTTAAATTTATATATATATATGTACTTAATAAGAGAAATCTAAAAAATATATATTTCAAAGAATCACATGCAAAGTTAATTAAGCTGTAAAGGAGCCTATGTCAAAAAGAGAAGGAAAAAAAATAACTTAGGACATATATGAGGGGGAAAAAAGTATATTAAAGAAGCACATCAAAAAACAATTAAGCACTAGAGGAGCATTTGGAAAAAGGAAAAAAGAAACAAATTGAAAGGGACATATATGAAAATTTAATTATTTTAGTAGAAGCAAAGAAAGAAAAAACTTTGTTAGAAATTTATCTTAACATGAATAAATTAGAGAAAATGTATTTGTGAGGAAATAGTAGTTGAAATGGCTAAGTGAAAATTTTGTTTAAGAAAGGAAAAAGGAGACAAATACCTCTAACAATATATGAATCTACGATTTTTACTATTTATTCTTGATTAATACTCTTTAGTCAAAAAATTATATTAGTTAAAAGCGTATTAATTAAAAATAAAGGGTAAAAATCTTAGAAAAATGCATTTATAAAGTGAGTTCACTAATTTTCTCTTTACGGAAAGACATGTTTGAGGAAAACCTTTAGTTGGCCAATTACAAAAAAAATATTTATAAGAATAACTTTTAATATAATAAGAATTATATAGGAATATATGTATATATACACACACTAAGTAGGGTTGCATTTGAAGGAAATTATCTTAATAGAAGTAAGCAAGAAACGGAAAGGTATTTTAGAGAAGCCCATTGGAAAAATAAATAAATTATGTAGGAGCTTTTAGCGAAAAGTGGAAAGATATGTATGGTATATTAGAAAGAAATTATTTTGATATGAAAAACATGAAAAAGAAAAACAAAAGTATTTCAAAGCACATTGTAAAACAAACTAAATAATAGAATAGAGTTTGCCAAAAAGGAAAAACAATAATGCAAACAGAAAAAAAAAAAGGAAATATAAAAAAGAAAACAAAGGGCAAAGCAAAAATAAAAATAAAAAATAAAAAATAAAAAATAAAAAATAAAAAAATAAAAGCAGAAGTGAGTGACACGTGAATGAAAGTAGATACGGGACGAAAGAGTTAGATAGAATATATATGACAAGTATGACTAAACAACTAAGGTAAATACGGTAAGAGATAGAAATGTGATTATATGAAATTAACATGAAAAAATCAGTCAAATATCAATATTGTATTAAGCGGTATACTATATAAATATGATGACATGATACACTTTGTGTACTAAATAATATTGAATGATGTCCTTTAGCATTTTATGAATTATTCTTTTAAAAAAAAATGTCTTTGGGCTATTATTATTATTATTATTTAAATCAAGTTTATGAATTGTTTTTATTTATTTTCGTTTCCTGGTCATCCACCGTCTATAAAAAATCTCGGGGCCTTGCAATAGAATGAAAAAGGCTCGACCTAATGCTACTTGAAGGATGAATCTAGTTTTAGAGAACCACCATGGCAGCGGATTGACAACACAAAACTACTATATTAGGATTGTTAAGATTCGAATTTAGAAATATTTTAAAAGGAAAATACTCAAAATACTCTGTGTTTTCGTCTAAATAGCGTTTTTGCTTCTGTTATTATCTAAATATCCAAAACACCCATTGCGTTTTTAAGATCAAATTTAAAATACCCCTTAAGCAATTAAATTTAAAAAAATACCAAAATTAACCTTCCCCATCTATATTAAATATTATTTTACATATGATTTTACTAAAAATTATACAAAAAAAAATTTTAGAAATCTTCAGATAAATATTCCAATGAAACAAATATTTTAATTATTTTCGAGGCATTTTTTCATTTTTAAGATTGATTTTATTTAATGTTTTGGTTTAATAATGTTTTAAATATATGTAATAAGGGTTGGGAAGGGTGTATCTTGAAACTTAAAAAAAAAAAAGTTATTTTAGGGGGTATTTATTGAGTCTGATTTTAAAAATACATTGAGTGTTTTTAAGGATTTGCATAATGAGACAGGTCAAAATGGTATTTGGGAAAAAACACAGGGTTGTTTTGGGTTTGATCCATATTTTGAGAGTAGAAGAAAGAAAGAAGAAAACCTAAAAAATACCCCTTTAGTTTAGCTAAATCCTACATTTACCGCTAAGTTTTTCTATAATCCAAAACGTTTCGACTATATTTTTAATTTATCTC